CCACGCCAGCTCTGTGGCGACGACTGTACGAAGACGATGACGACAACAGCGGCGACTTAGGCAACGCGTCAAAACGCCAAAAAGTCAAAGAGGCAAGCGTCACGCCAATCGCCAGCAGCGACCACCAGCAACACGCTCAAAAAATAAGAGCCCAAGCTAAGGAGCTTGTGGTTGTGATGGGGCTGGTAATGACGCTGGTAGCTATTGGCGGTGACGAGAGTGTTGCATAAAAAGCCTAATTGTACGTATCTTGAAGTACTGATCGGCACATTGGTTGCAAATATGTATGCACATATATATGTATATAGTTCGTAAAAAAACCTTAGTACATATGTAAATATGGATTTTTAATTACCCAATAAGCATTTACTACTTCATCCCGGAAATATTAACAAGGAGACCCGGAGAGTTTCTTAATCTTACTAAGAGCGAAGTAAGAATTCATACAGGCTTTTTACTGGCCGTTGCAGATTTATGAATCACCTGCGGGTTATGTCATGAGGAACAGAAAAAAGCCGAGCACTTTATGAGTCACTGTTAAGCCCTTACTAGGCCCGGACTTTGGTTTTTGGGATCATCCACTCCTAGTAGCACCTGACCTAAATGGCATTCAGCCTAGAGAAGGCGCGAAGTTCTTTGATAATTCGTTCTGTCAGCAAATAGATCTGATCCCTCCTCTAAATCGTTTCCAATCTAGGACCGAGCTTAAAAAACTTATATCAATGGGCCGCTGAGCAAATTATGGATCAGTATTATATAATCCGGAACTATTTATGACACTGAACAAAGCACATAAAATATAAATTCAGCAAACACTGGATTCATAGCCCAGGGTCACAAAAATCTCCCGTACAAATTGGCTCCTCCCCCCGCCCCCCCTCTCCCCCTTATACACATATTTTTGAATGCATATCGTTTATGGAATATGCAAAATTTTTCTCAAGCATCGAAAGTGTTTATTGGGTCGTACGAATATACTTGCATACATGTATATATGTGCATTAGAAAAATATGCTTGTATGAGGTGTGTGTGTGTGTATGCATATATGCAACTCCATTCAAGTCTATCTGTCGCGCATTTTTCAAGCTCGTGTGCATGGGTGGACAAATAATGTGGGAACCTAACCATTCGTTTACAGTTTATATATATGTATATACATATATACATAAGTATACCAATAGATATGTATTTATATATATGTATGCGCCATTTGCCGTTTTGACGATTTTCGCGCGGGAAACTGCCAGCGCGAATTCAACAATTCACTTGCTGTGCGCATAAATTAGATGCTAAGAAAAAAACGGCGAAAAATTGCAAACGAAACTAAAATGAACGCTAAATGAAAAATTAAATCGACAACAAAATTGCTTAACGAATATTTGGGAGCTGGCTTAGAGGTATTCCAAAAAAATAAAAATAAAAATAAAAATAAAAATAAAAATAAAAATAAAAATAAAAATAAAAATAAAAATGGAAGACAATAAAAATAATTTAAAAAAAAACGAAAATAAAAAATTAACTGTAATAAATATAAAAATTGCATTTATAAAATAAATTTCAATTAGTTTTTCTTAATGAATCCATTGTATTTGCTAACTGCTTTTATTGGCTTTGTTACTGCTTTCTGTGTATGTATTTGTCAGCCAGACATTGTTTTTTATTTGCTGCAAATTGATGCTAAATTCCACATTTTCTCCACAGCATAGGGCATTCTAAAGTGCAACTAAGCATGTAACTACTTCAATAAAACCAACAATCATACGTTAGCATTGCGGATATAGGAATTAATTTGTTTATTTTCCTCGCTATTCAACGCTTTGTAGCGCACTGGCCGCTTCGATGTTTGTATTATGCCAACTAATTGCAGCAATTGCCATTAAATTATTGTATTTTTATTTTTTTTAATTTGGCTCAATCGTTGATGTCACCAATGTCAATGTCGCTCAAATTGTTGCTGATATGTTGTTGATGATAATGCGCAAGGACGCCTGTTCGCGCTATCAGCGCATTGAAAGGTGTAATTTAGTTTTTTATTTCCCTAATTTCTTTTTAAAGCTAACTTTTAGCTTAGATTTTATATTTACATACACAGATGCATATGTATTTATACATATATTTATATATATATTCGATGCTTGCTTATAGTTATTACCCTATATAATTTTTTTATGTTTACGCTTCTAGGAGTAATTTTTATAAAAAGTTAAGTGCAGGTCAAAGTGCTGGAACAGTTAACCCATTCGTCGTTGTGATATAGTATAAGTACTCCACCTTAGTTTTTGTTGATTTAGTAGTGTACTCACTCATTTACAGGAAGAATGTCGTAACTCAAAAAATCAACAATGTGAGAAAGGGGTTTAAATTTGTGAAAAAGGGTTTAAAGAACGCATAAAATGTAGAGTTTTTGTGCACTTTTGAAATTTTCTATAGGGTAGGTATATTTATTATCCGATATAAAAAAAAAATTGTGCTTAGCAAATTGAGGAATGATCGATTTTATTGTAAGTGGGCATTTACCAAAAACTGAAAGAATCCAATTTTACACTATATATAAGATTCGAGCAATTTTGCATTTAAAAAAAAATACCGTTATATGGCAGGTGAGCGGTGTTATTGACCGATTTACTTGGACACATACATATGTATGCACATTTTATAAATAATAAGTAGACGCACAGTGGTGCAAATGCGAAATTTACTTCAAAAAATTGTTTGCTTGACTCCAAGGCGTTAATTGTTAAATGGCTTATATTTTTTGTTAATATACTATATTTTGAAATGAGTAAAAAAATTTTTAGAAGTTATTTTTCTATATATTTTTTATAATATAAATCGAAAAAAAAATATTTTTCAATCTTTGTAAATTTCCCCAAAACTTTTTATTTTAACGAAAAATCAATTATTAACAAAGTAGGGCAAATCCCATTCAATTTCATGATATAGCACTTGTTCCGATCGATTAACGAAAACTGCAGATATAACAAAAAATTTTATGAGCTGCCCTCTTTCTTTAATTAAAACCGCTAACTATAAAAAAAAATGAAAAAAGCTCCCTAAAGCTCTTAGAATTTAATTATACCTCAACCCAAAAAAAATTAAAAATTCGTCAATAATTGTAGGTTATAGACCTGTTTGAATAGTAAATTTTACGTTCGCACCACTGTTGGGCGGTGGCACGCCCATTTTCCAAAAAAAAAAATAGTAACTTTTCTAGTAAAAGATTTTTCCGTATGTCAGATTTAAGAAATATAGCTCCAGTAATAATAATAACAATAATATTCTGGCGCTTACGCTTTTGCTAAGTGTTTGGCCGAACTTATCATCCAATTTGTGGCCTATGTCTTGATGTTGTTACACAAATAGAGATCCTACAGTTTTGCGCCGCCTCCGAATGGCAAATCGATTTTATAAGAAGCTTTTTCATTGCCGTTTCCTGCCTAGGGGCGACTTTTTATTTAATATATATTTTTTTTGCGATGTTACTTTGACCAGGGCTCGAACCCAGTCCTTTCGGTAGAATGCACCTCTAACCACTAGGGCACAACCGCCAGTATTCACTGAATAGTAGCGACTTATGTAAATGTTTCTATCTCAATGGCAAGTTTTTCATAACCTCAACAGAAAAGATCATTTGGCAAATGTTAAAGCTCACATATGTATATATATTAGAATCATGTACATGTGTGGACCATCGCAAGTAAGAGCTACGTACATATTTATACACAGATAACAATAATCCACAAAAACAAAAACTGAAAACAAAATTTAGCTTGAGACCTAATGCTCCCTGACCTTCGTATATAAGTAAAATGATTTATATAGAGTACAAAGGCAGTGTGATAAGTCAGGGACTTTTTATTGAAGAAAAAAACATTTTATTTCGGCAAAACTTCTTTTATTTTATCAACCCGGTAGCCATTTACCTCGGTACGTTTAGTCCAGCATTAATCCGAACCTTTCATCTCTTTTAAAAAGAGACGATAATTCAAGTTACCTCCATACAAAAAAAAAAACAAAGGAATGGTGTGTATTGGTAATAATGGTGCTATTAGCAGTTATAAACTGGTTGAAAGTCCAACAAATGCTTCTTTGTAGTTTCTAGAGAAATGAATGGAGTACGAAAAAACAATAGGGGTATTTAGGCGTTAATGCGAGATACAATTGCAACGGTGCAAATTGTGAAATTGCAAAATTTTATCAACAACAATCAGACGCAAATCTCGCATCAGTCATTGCATTTGCTTATGGTTGGCTTCGAGTAAAAATGCAATGACTGATGCGAGATTTTCGGCTGTTTGTTGTTGATAAAGTTTTGCCATTTCATTTTGCATTAACACCTGAATATCCCTAATGATTGTTTTAACCAAAAACCAGAAAGATCTCTTTTCGTTTAGTTCAATTAATTGGCTTAATTTGATAAAAACAGAAGCCATTAGAGAATTCGAGTATGGTGATCCACAGACTCGAACGGAGTTTTATAATGTCTCACGAAAAGAAGCTGCTATTCCAAGCGAATTCATAAAGGAATTCAGTTTTAAAACTAATACATGGTAGAATAGAAACTTAAGAGATCTTTATCGAAATTTTTAAGATTAATTTTCCACAAGGATAACAGTTTAAACTTGAATTAGCCACCTCTAATCCGAGTTTTTTGGAAAAATGTTATTTGGAAGAGCATCCAAAATGATACCGATGCATTCATTTAAAGCAATATCGATCCATTTGGATACCATTGTATCAAAATGGCAACACTGATCATAGTTTTAATTTTTTTAATTTTTACCTGACTCAATGCGTTAATCCTTTCTTTCCCTGACATAAAAGTTCTAGCCATTCCAATACTTTATACATATATATTTTGAACACACACTCATCGCATCTTAACTTTTAAATGCATAAACCCAAAAATATAATGATGTGTCTTGAAAGCTGTATAATTTTAACGTTTTCGTTCTTAATTTCCATAATATATTTAAAATAGTAAAATTCTCTATTCCACCTTGCTGTTGAAAACGCTTCACATTTCTAATTTTCCGCGTTCACACGCTCAACACACGCGCACTACTTTTCCACTGAATTCTCAAATCATTTTCAGAACACAGACAGCTTCTTCTAATACAACGAAACGTGCACAAACATGCTGATGCATTGATTGAAGAATATGCATATCAGAACAGGAAGCTTTTTCCTCTCAATAAAAAATGCTATCGAAAATGAAATCGAAACCGAAATTCAATATGCAATTTGTATGTATGTTTGTATGTATGTATATCTGCTTGTCTAATTGAATTATTTACAGTAAAATGACTTTGTTGTTTTACGACGCGACTACTGCTTGCACGCGCGTTGTGTGACCAACTGATTTACCGTCTCTACTATTTGTTCACTTCTCCACCCTGAAAACGTTCATACGTACGCCCGCCCGCTCTCCCCCGCAGCAAACATAAAATTACACGCGAATGGTATTCGTTTGTTTCGAAAATTCTTTGCGTATGAATGAATTTATTTAAAAGTTGGGATGCGGAGTGCGCGAGCTGATGTGGCGCGCGGCTGATTTGGTGCACGTCGTAAAGAAAAATGATTGCAAGAAAATGTAAAAATGTGCGACTTGACGACTTTGCGAGTTGGCGCGCGCGCGTACCTCAACAATCTGTTGCGATTTGTGCAGCACAACAACTTACGAACGGACAGCAACACCCCAAGTGCACAACAAAACATTAACTGCAATGCAACATAATAATCATTCCACTCGTCTCCACGCAGTCGAACAAAAAACTTCAACAACAAACTTCAATTTACTAACAAAGTTTACTACAACTTCAAAGTGGCGCTAACGGTTTATCGCTCTTTCTCTCTCTACATAGGAAGTATTTTCGCTCTCAAAAAAATGTGTGTGCTTTTGTGCGATGAGCTTTTAATTAACTTTGCCGTTGGCAAGCTGGGCTGTGTGCCTCTACCTCCTACACGTCCCACTCCTCCTACTCTCCTATTTTCCTAAACTTTGCTGTTTTTGTATATATGTATGTATTTGTTTGCATGAATTGGTGCTCACCTGTCACTAGCGGGTGTGGGGTGGCCGTTTTTTTTCTTATCGAATATTTGTCGGGGCTAATCGTGGCAATTGTTTGACTTGTTGTCGATTGTCAGTATTCATTATCATTAGGCTAAAAGCTCTACCCTCTTTGCCTCTCCAAAACGTTCTGGCCTTATGCAACAAGAGTAGAATAATAAAAACGGAATAAGCAGACTCTGGCAATTCGTATACACAATTTAGCAAGCCAGTCGCTTTGTTAATGAACAGTGGACTTATTTGACGATTTCGCGGAAAATAAGTGATGAGTACGAGCTTTGACTAAAGCCAGGAAAAACAAAAAAAAATACCTGGATTTTGTAAAAAGAGTCCGAATAGAGTTAAATACTTGCTTTATGGTGAAAGCTATACATAACCGGTTTTTTAAATCCGGCAAAGATGGATATGGAAATCTGGTAACGGACGTCCACAGTAAAATTGAGATATAGTGACCAATGTATGGGGGGAGGGCGAAATTTACGTCCCTCCACTCGCCTAAGACGAGGTGTAAACAGCAATATTCATCCATTACATAATAGTCATGCATAGATTTTTACAAAGGCACAACTATTAGCAAAAATATCAAATACACCGGCCGGTTATAATAACATGTTTTTCCCTCTTAAGCATTCACACATTTCAATTGCACCACTGTTGTCATACACCCACAACTTCCATGACTGATTGTTGAGTGATACAAAAAAAAAATAAATATTTATAGTCACGTTAAATAGTTAGTTGTTGCTGTGTTACTTTTTGGTTTCTGATTCCAAATACATATTTACTTATTTTTTCCACTTCACTACCTCACTATTAATTACATTTTTAGCATATTTTTTTGCGGATGATTTGATTTCCAAGGCACGCTCGTTAACTGTTTATGCCACCGCCTTATTTTGCCTTGCTAATTTTTATTGCCTTTTTTCAAAAATTATTTTCCATCGGAGCTAATATTTAGCCGCTATTGATTTTTTATTTAAGTGTGTAAAGACACGAAGAATTACAATAATTTATTGTTATTTTATTTTGTATATTTTTTTTTTTAATTGAACACACTTTATAAATGTATGTACATATGTATGTGTCTAGCATACATAACTCGCTTATTACACTTTTTCAAGTTCACATTGCGTCGTTTTCAACTGAGCTAAGCTCAGCTTAATCGAGCAGAATAGTACTGAGCCGTTGAACGAAGTGCTATTAATTTTACACAAATGTATGCACATTAGGCATATGACATTTTTCTGAAATTAAATATGTCTATGAAGAGAGGATGGAAAATGATAAAAAACCAACCGAAATAACGTTTTTGTCAAAACTTATTAAAAAAAATTCCGATGCTTTTTCAGTACCACATATCGACTGCTGAGTGGAAGATCGACCTACCTTGGCAGCCAGTTCGAAAACGACCTATCTTAAAAACTTTTCAAGAACGCCCTATTTCAGAATTCGTTTCAAAAATGCTGCCGATTAAAATAACGCCCTCTATCAGCACATTTTCAATACATTTTGAAGTAAGGTAGGACGTTTTTGAACCAAATTCTGAGATAGGATGTTTTTCAACAAATTTCTGAAATAGGGCGTTCTTGAAAAGTTTTTTGAGATAGGGCGTTTTCGAACTGGCCGCCGAGATAGGTCGATCTTCCACTCAGCAGTCGATATGCACTTTAGGGTGGTTCAATACCGAAATATTGCTTGGGACACCCCTTCATTTCGTTCTACGTGCAAAATAAAGGCATCGAAAAAGTTTCAAAATTTTTAAATATTTTTTAGCGTCGCTCCTGGGGTGGAAAACCAAAACAATTCGACAAATTAGACATATGTTGCTTCAGTTGTTTTTGAGCTTTCCCATACACAGGAATCTCTTCGTAGTTTTCAAGATAATTATTTGTTATCCAGTTTTATTTAGAACTTAGGAAAAGTCTGCAAATTGCTTTATTTATTCCGAAAAAAACTGAAATAATTAACAGTCTTCTAATTGCATGATAAACCCATCGGAAAAGTTAATATAGACCTTTGCGCTCAAAATGGATTTTTTTAATTTTTACTATGGTAACAAAATATGTCAAAATTGTAAAATTTTAATTTTTTCAATCTTTGATAGCAACCCCTAAAAATTATTTTAAAACTTAGAAATTTTCGTGGATGTCTTTAATTTGTACGCTGAACGAAATAAGGGTGTGTCCCATACAAAATTTAGATTTTGACATTTTAAGAAGCTCCCTAATGTACATACAATTTTTATGAAATCTCATATTTTTATATAGAAAGCAAGGTACATACATATATTAAAAATGCATCGTTTTGAAAAGGATTAATGTACCTACTTTTTCCTCGTTTATATTCAGTGAAAGTCAAATTTGGTAAGCCCAAAAGAGGCATCGAAAATCCGTCAAAACCAAAATAATACGAAATTTTTTAATAAAGATCGAATCTTCCTTGTGTGTATGGAGTTTTGCTTCGATTTACAAACGTAATTGTCATATGTATGTATGTACATATTTTTAATTTTAGAAAAAAGTCATATTCCTAATGTATGTACATACATATGTATATTTAAAATCCGATGAATTAGTTCGCGTGACGATAAATTGGTTGTGTGGTGCGGCGGAGGACCGTTACTGTATGCGAAGTTCGAGTAGTTATTGGCAAGCAGATGATCTCACAATACATGTGTAGGTTTTCAATTGTTATTGATTCTCTTTGTTAACTTCACAAAAACAAAACTTCTATGCAATGTTTCGTTCTCCCCAAAACAAATTAATGTATATGCACTAGTTTTGTTAAAAAAAAAAATACTAGAACTATCACTCGCTCCACACTTGCCTGCGCCACCAGCACTTTTAGTGTGAAATTTCTGTGTAAATTAATAATTAAACCTTTTTGTTCCAAAAATATGGATTAAAAAATCAAAATTAAAATAAATTCCAATGTTTATTTAACTTGCGTGATGTTAGTAATTTTAATAAATAAATTTGTATATGTATATATATATTTTATTTTTTGTTCTACAATTTCTCTTTAATTTTCTACTCACCAGCTCCTTATCAGCGTCGCTATCCGTTTTCACTTTCTTTGCCAGTTGCTTTGCTGCATCTCCTTCTCCCGTTTTGGTTGTTTTCAAAGCGCTGCTGGTTTTTGGTTTAATGCGGCTATTCATATTTTCTATACACAAACGCACACATACACACGCTCCGAAGCTTTGCACTGACAATTTTCTTTGGTCGTATGAAAGACGCTTTTTTATACGATCACTTGCTTTATTTCAAGTGATGCATATTTTTAGGCTCGCGATCTTTTGCAATTTTTTGCGGAAATGAACACATACCCTAAGACAAGATAAAGCTCTTTGTAATGGCGGGAAACTTTTTATATTTGTTTTTAATTGCTGTTGGTCCACTTCGTGAGTAATTCTATGTGTATATTTAAAATGGTTGATTCAGTCGTTGCTGTTTAGGAAGACGCTGAAAAGAAAACAAGATTCCAAGATTTTTTTACACTCATACAAACATACTTGTCATGCTAGAAAGTACCGGAAATATTTATTGTTTATTTTGGCTGAGTCATATTTGCTTTTTTTTGTACTATTTACTATCTGTACGGCTAAAGTTTATATACCTAACTCGTTTAACAAGAACTCCATATTCAAAACTTAATTCAATATACTATGCATACACTCCCAGTCATTAGATTAGACTACCCTTTTTTATACTCAGTATGTACAGTTTTCCTTTCTTTTTTAATTCATTAATTTTTGTTATAAAAACTGTAGCATATTCTACGTGTAAATTCAATTTAAAAATTTTATACAAATCTAAAAAACATGTCAACAAAGGGGCGCGCTATCCTAATGACCTGCAGTGCATAAGCTAATAATATTTTTGGAAAAATTTCGGGTATGAAGTTTTGTAGCCCTTTAAATTTTACTATAGTAAAGTGTAAGTTTTAAGTGGCTACAAAATACCGTTGATTTTTATACAAAATCAAAATCAAAATCCAAATTCAAAATTCACTTTTTGATTGATATGATGGATTTCATTGAATTGAAAATATCATCGTTTTATGCAAAAAAAAATATTTGTCAAGAATTTTTCCATTTTCGAAGATGAGAGTTGGAGGCGGAGTATATTTAAAGCAACTTATACGCTGAATATATTCCAATTGAACAAGTCGCAGCTGGTGCTGATAATCTGGTAGTTCTAAACCCTCTGCGACTGACGTGGAAGTCTGGCAGACACCGAAGGTTCGATATTTTTTCCGAGCTTAAATAACATTGATCACTAAAAACGCCTATTTTTAGACATATAGTTTATTTATATGACTACTTAATGAGTACTTAAAATATTGATAGAATTTCCAAAAAAAAATGGAAAATTGGGGTTTGAGAGACTAAACGTCAATATGATAGGAAACTTCGGTCACGTCAGTAGCAGAGGGTTAAACCTCTTTGAAAACAATCAATACCCTTTATGGT